CCTGAGATCAGGAGGTCAAGACCAGCCTGGCCAACATGGTGAAACCCCATCTTTAGAAAAAAAAAAAGAAAAAAGAAAAGAGATTGAGTTTTGCGGTGGCATGGTGGCTCACACCTGTAATCACAGCACTTTGGGAGGCCGAGGTGGGCCGATCACAAGGTCAAAAGATCGAGACCATCCTGGTCAACATGGTGAAATCCTGTGTCTACTAAAAATACAAAAATTATCTGAGCATGATGGCGCATGCCCGTAATCCCAGCTACTTGCTAGACTGAGGCAAGAGAATTGCTTGAACGGGGATCCATTAGGCAAAGGTTGCAGTGAGCTGAGATTGTGCCACTGCACTCCAGCCTGGGCTACAGAGTGAGATTCATATAAAAAAAAAAAAAAATAGATATATTGAGTTAAATAATAAATTATAAAATCAATCTTTTTAAAAATAGATACACCTACTAAAAAACATAAAATTATGTATGTGTCTCACATACTTCTGATGGGCAGCACTGATCTGGAAGAAAAAGATGTCTTTACTAAAAACCATAATACGTGTTTTAAAGTTGTAAGTGTCTTAAGAGGAGGATAAATTACATGCTATAGGCATATGATAGAGGAAGTGGTTGAGAGAATCAGAAAAAAGCTCTTCAATACTTTTTAGTTCTTAAATTGGTGGTTCATATTAATTAAATTCTTAATTCAGCTACTTTAAAATGCCTCCTAGGCTGGGAGCAGTGGCTAACACCTGTAATCTCAGCACTTTGGAAACCAGAGGTGGGCAGATCCCTGACGTCCTGAGTTCCAAACCAGCCTGGCCAGCATGGTGAAACCACTCTCTATTAAAAATACAAAAATTAGCAGGTGTGGTGGCACACACCTGTAGTCCCAGCTATTAGGGAGGCTGAGGCTGGAGGATCGCTTGAACCAGGGAGGCAGAGGTTGCAGTGAGCTGAAATCATGCCACTGCACTCCAGCTTGGGCAACAGAGTGAGAGCCCATCTCAAAAAAAAAAA